CTCAAATGGGCCCTTAACTGACTCCAAGCAAATATTTTTCATCTTAGCTTTCTTTCACGCATGTAATGAACTTAACAGAAAAATTTGTGTGTCATAAATTTATGTGCATACAGGTAAGGCGAAGATGGGAGAGAAAGAATGGTTCTTTTTCTGCCAAAAGGATAGGAAATATCCTACAGGAATGAGAACAAACCGTGCAACGGAGTCTGGATATTGGAAAGCCACTGGAAAAGACAAGGAAATATATAAGGGGAAGGGAGTTATTGTTGGGATGAAGAAGACTCTAGTTTTCTACATGGGGAGAGCTCCGAGAGGGCAGAAGAGTAATTGGGTGATGCATGAGTATAGGCTTGAAGGCAAACACCAAGAGCATGTTCACCTCTATAAATCTCGACAGGTAAATATATGTTCATATTTTTAGAAATCATATGGTTTGGTTCATATCATATTATGATTGAAAATAAAATTTTTATATTAGAAAGAGTTTTAGGGCCTAACCAAACACTGTAGAAAAAGGGATAAATTTTCACGTTTTTAAAAGGAAGTTGACTATTTCTAAGCAACCAACTGGATCATGGAATATACCCAGCAAAAATTTGCTTAGGATGCAAGTCACATCATTGGAGGATATTTAATATGGTTGAGTGTTTAGGATTAATGTTTTATATTTTATTTTTTTCATTTTAAAAACATATTTGTTGGTCTATTTTTTTCTATTTTTTATTTTTTAAAAAATTAATTTATTTCTAAAGAATATTCAAAAGGTCTAAAAGTTATTTTAAATATTTTAAAAAAAAATTAACATGCTATAATTTATGAAAAATATTTTTTTTCGAGTAAAGCATAAATAAAATAAAATAAAACAGTAAAAAAATTAAAAATTAAAAAGTAAAACTGATTCCAAATAGCCCAAAGAAATTTTTTTGGGAAATTTATATACATACCACATAACTCTTTGGTATTTACATATCTAATTAAAAAACCTAAAATTTGATGCTTGCCATTAGAACACTTTGGTGCCATGAAATTTTGTATGATCATGTAAGCTTTTGTATGAGAAATATATAATAGAATTGTGAGGTATGTATGTAAATCTTCATCAAATAAACTCTATTTAGTTAATAGAAAAATAGAAGTATTTTCTAATTATTTCAATTGAGCATATATTTCATGAATTAAATCCCATAAATGACAACTAAGAATCATTAGTCTCATATACATAGGAGGAATGGGTTGTTTACAAGGTCTACCACAAGATCAAGGACACAAAGATGATCCCAACGCATGATTTATCAACAAGTATGAACTCATTTGTGGA